CATTTAGTAAAGTCAACATAATTACAATAAATACTTTCTGATAATGATTAGTCATTCCAGAAAGATATATATGTTATAAATTAAAATTTATTCAGATATATTTATATAGACATACATTATATTATGTATATAATATGTTAAATGATTTAACTTTTAAAGATTAGTCTAAATGTATAAAATGACTTAACCATAAGATATGAGTCCATATCTATAAGAAATTGAATAAGTTAAATGGTTTAACTTTGAGAGATGAATCCAAGTTTATAATACGATTTAGTTTTCCAAAATAAGTCTTCTTAGATAAAATCGTTTAACCCCCAGTGATAAGTTCTAATCAGAGAACTGCAACGAGTCATAACTGATGACTCATAACATGTTAAATGATTTGACTTTGAGAGATGAATCCAAGTTTATAATACGATTTAGTTTTCCAAAATAAGTCTTCTTAGATAAAATCGTTTAACCCCCAGTGATAAGTTCTAACCAGAGATTTGCAACGAGTCATAACTGATAACTCCTATCATATTAAATGCTTTAACTTTGAGAAATGAGTCCCAGTTCATAAAATGATTAGAGAACTGCAACGAGTCATAATTTTAATACTCAGAGTACACTCATAAAAAACCAAATAAACCATATTTGCGTATAAATGTTTTTCTCACACACTACTTATATGTATTCACATTCGCCACAGATATGATCCATAAGTATATTCGTAACGAATGCCGGTACTAATTAATCTGCATCACAAGGATGCGTCTATATTTCTAAGTAAGATAGCATAAGTGGCAATGGATTCATAAATTATAGCATATACTCAGGTGAGTATGAATATACTCATTGAAAATGAGAAACTCGATCAGTCCTAAACATTTTATGTGAATTATAAATCATATGCATAATTTTTTGTCGAATATCAGTGCTTATGAGTATCATGTGAGCTGATTATAAATCATTATGAGAGCTATCAGCTGTATGTATGAATCTGGTGGAGTCAAATATACGAAAAAGGGAGTCAGAATGCATATTAATGCACGATTCGAGTATTGAGTACTTAGGTATTACAGTCATTAGATTGGTTTAACTTTAAGAGATGATGTGTCCTAATGTGTGTAATTAATAACTTTTAAAGATGTTTCCTAATTTATAAAATAATATAACTTTGAAATTCAAGTCTCAATTTATGAAAAGTTTAACTTTAAACATGACTCTTAAGTTCGGAAACAAAAAGATTATATAGGTGTTTGATTAATAATTTTTTTAGGTGTGTTATTTAATAACTCTGGGAACTTTGTCTATATATATATATAATATATATATATATATAATAAGTTTTCATTTTAGTACCTTAATAAAATAGCGAGCAGTATATCTAAAAATTTCTATTATCTGTTATTTATTAATAAATTGTACTATTTGCACAGTTTACCTTTAAAATAAAGCTCACAACATGAAATTATTATGTATTATTATTATTTGCGACAGGCAAATAGAGAGTGGGCCCCTGCCGCCTCAGCACTCAAGTCGAGGCTAATCTATTCCAAATGTAGAATCTCTGATTTATTACACAAGAGCAAAACAGAGGTATACCTATAGGTTAATATCTGTCTTTACAGAGCACTGGATCATAGGACAGCATCCAGCTAAGCTTGGTCCATCCTGAGATAGCTCCTGCAATGCGTGTCTACCAGCTATCAAAGAAAGGATACCAGAACACTTGCTGTGTCTATGTCCATGCTTGGACAGAACTAGGCTTAAGTTTCTGGGGCTGCTTTCATCAACATATTCGGTGATATTTCTAGCCTTAGCATTTGCCAGATTCTTGCCTTAATAATTGCCTCTTGCTGGTTCTAGCTTGATTATTACTTTACTACCTATTATTACGAGCATTTGTGTATTCAAAACAGCTTTCTTAGCTAATTCTGGAGGATTCGGTCGTGCCTCCTCCACAACTAACTAACTAAAGGTCACAAATTAAAATTATTATGTATACCAACATACATTATGAGTGTTTTTGTTATGCGATTAAAATCTCTTCCTTCAACTTTTCATCACAAATCGGAAATTTTAAGGTGCCTAATGCGCTTATGTGTAAAACATTAATTTGGTGGCTGTCAATATTTAAAAGTTTAATTAGTTTCGCTTATGTTTATTTAACAGTTTATCAGGCAATAAGCATCTCTGTAAATGTAACAAAATATACCACATGACAACAACAACAAATCACACATTGTAACAATAACAACAACAACAACAACAAACACTAATCAGTTACAAGCCTAAATTGGCGCCTATTAAATTGATTACAATCTCATTAACAGCTTCAGAATGTCTCATATTCCCGATATGGTATCACTACACGCTGCATTATGAACTAGACAGAACGATCATAAACATATAGACACATACACACACACCCACATGCAACCGCACTTTAACTTTAGAAAGCGTAAAGCCGGCAGTATGTGTTGCACTAAATATAACTGTATTCTATAGCTACCTTATGTGCCGCATGTAGGTAGTCATGTTTGCATGTAAATACATATATACATATGTATATATGAATATGAAAATGTGTTGGAGCAACACAGCAACTACGACAACTATTGTTACTCCAATCAAAACCCCACCAACAACAACAACAACATCATCAACCACAATCTGACACTTATGCTGTGTTGTTTTGTTGTAGTTGTTGTTGTTGTTGTTGTTTGATTATAAAGTTCCGATAAGAATTGAAGTATTTGAGGTGCTTAGCATTTGTTGTTATTGTCGTTAATGTTCTATGTTTTATACAAAATCTGTATATGTGGCGGCATGTTTAATGCTTTGTAGACATTAATATGCGTATATGGGTATGTATGAAAGTTTTTAAATATATGTACAAATGTGTGTATATGTGTAGTAGCTTTTGTGCATCATACAATAAATGCCTTAGTATCAGAGACGTATGTGTGTATGTGTGTTAATTGTGAAGTTACTTGTGGGTTTCTTCTTAAGATTTTACAACGTGTTTTGTTTGGTTTCTTATTGTTGTTTTTGTTGTTGTTGATTTTGTGGTTGCTGTTGTTGTTTACTTTGTTACTTCATTGTCGTCCCGCTGTGATAACGTTTCTGAATTGCTTAAAAAGCATTTTGAAATCGCTTGTAATTGATTTGATTGAGATTGATTGTCTAACGCAGACGCATAATAATCAGCCTCTTTGTATGTTAAGTCTTGATTGAAAGCCAATCTGCTACCACACATATGAAGTCAAATATAGTTGAGCCTGCTTCGCCTGCCCGCTTTGCCCGACCGCTTGCCTTATAGGCTGGCGCCTATTGTGGATATTTTTCGTTTAATATTCAATAACAGTTTAATAAATTCCAAAATATATTGACTATTGTTCTGATTCTATTTTAAAATTTATTGTAGCTTTAAACTTAATTTTTTATTGATTTTACTTAAGTTTTTGTCTTCGACTCTGAGAATCTTTTTGAACTTTACATGAGAGAGATTTAATTGCTTTCCATACTTACTACTTCGCCTATTTTAGTACTCATACATTATTGATAATGCCGTGGTTAATAACAATAAGCACAGGTGTAATCAGAAAGCCAATGGGGGATAAGACTATAAAGCGGCTTTTGTATTTCCGTTCCTTATATATAGTTGCTCGGTCGGGTACCATAACGATACGGAATGATGTTTCAGATAACTTCGACTCATTGGAGTTGTAGGGGCTGCTGTTGACTTAGCTTAATGCGCTTTTTCTTTCACGACGACCTTATACCGTTGTTCCTTAAAGATGTCCACAACAGTCTTCTTAGTATCGTTTGTCTCCTACCTATCGATTCACTTGAGTTGATTACCAAGTCTTTCAAAAAGTTGCTAAGATTAACAGGAACACCGCTAGAAGTTGAGACCAGAAATTTGAACAGACAATGCCATGGTTGCTTATTCAATACAGCATCTAAGTTCCATATCACTATCCCATTGGGCCCGCAGAATTAAAATTAGACGATTAAAATTTAGTATTTTGTGTACAAATGAAGATATTAACTAAAGAAGTATAATAGTCGGATCAACTTTATTTTTTTCGTTAATTACGAGTATGCTTTAATTATTATATAACAATTTTTGTTAGTACTCAACATGTCCTCGAATTATAATTATAGTTCCACGATTGATAACACGGTCTTCAAATTCTTTGAAACTGTTTCAACTTTTTTAAGTAATATTTTTTGGAACTTTTTAAACATTTAGAACTCTTTTTACAAACCAGTGACCACAAAAAAAACGGTAGAAAGTCTTGCAGTATTCAAGCGGTTCCTTTTAATAAGTTTTCAAATGTTAACCGAGATGTTACACATGAATAAAAAAATAGAGTTAAGGACTTAAATAAACAATGTTCAGGAGAAAATAATTCGACATCCTTAATATGTGCTCGTTTGAAGGGTTTAAGAACAGGGGTCGCTGTTTGGGGGTTTTAACTTATTTTTGTTGTTGACAATTTCATTTGGTCTTGTTTGCTTTTGAATACAGCAAAATTTGATTTGTTATATTTAAAAAGTTCAAATAATGGACCGAGATAATTGTTGATTTAGAAGGTTCTATCAAAAATTCTAAATCAGCTGCATCTTGATGTATGGAAAATATAAATATATCTAAAATATATGTCTTTAATATCTTAATTATTGAAGTTCGAAATTATAATTATAATTATTCGAAACAAAAATAACTTAAAAAACATCTGTGCTCATTTAAAACATTTGCACTGTATACTTTTATGATTTCACCACGTCGGAGATATACACCAACTGTATAACTGTATATGGAACTAACATTCCATAACGTTTTTTTGAGAGAATGTTTTGCATTCTGAGTGTAGAGTTTTCTTCACCCACTCCATCTCGTTTAATATACCAGGGTTCAAAGTAAAATTTAACTAGGATCAATGAAAGTACACACTCTGTAGATTTCGATAAATAGAACTATATATTACAAAATTTGAACTTACCGCACTTGGTGCCGTTAAGTATTCCGGCCGCAAATACTGATTGCTGGATTGCAGCATTTTATTGTAATTTGTTAAATCCACTTTGATGGCTTTGGTTATCAGCGTTGATTGGAAAGAATTTTTTTTTTAAATGCCAAAGTTGGCAATGCTGCTAATCAGCACAATGTTTATTTACAAAAAAATGAATACACTTTTTCTTTGTTTAAAACAAAATTTAATGCTAGAATATATCACAAAAAAAACAAAAAAAAAATAATTATTATAATAAGAAACTTTTTTAAAAAAAAAAATTGAAGTAAAAAGTTTTCTTTTTCTAAAAAAATGTGAAGAAAAGTTTTTTTCTTTAAAAAAATGAAGAAACAAAACCTAACTAGAGCAACAGAGTTAGTTAGTTGTCGTATTAATAAAGTAATCTGAGAGAGTATGTACGTTGTCGTAATGTAAACAGAGAGCCTTTGCCTCTTTTGAACTATTTAATGCAATGCACAGCACACTTTCGCACATGTAAAAAAAACAACAATGTCGCTTACATTGTTGCACATGCGCACTCTTACTGGACATCAGGTGTGCTAGGATTTAACGCATAAACACATGAGCGAGTGTATGGGCAAGCAGCACTCAAAATTCTTTACATTTTATTTAAACATAACAATTGACTTTGTTGTTGTAATACAAATTCACTCTTCTTTCTTTTGCATTAGCATTGTTCTTATTGTTTTTTGGTTTTTGTTTTTGATTTTTATTTTTCTTTTCTAAGTTTTGATTTTGTTATTTGTATTTATGTATGTAAGTGCCTGCACTCATTTGCAGTCAGTTTAATAATTAATGCACATAATTCAAAACGATTTTTGCTTTTCTTTGTTTCTTTTGTTTTTGTTGTTGTTTTTTTTGCAATGTTTTTGCAAGTTATTCTTCATGTGCTGTTGGTTTTTTATTGCTTTCTGTTTTTGTTATTGTTTTTAAAATAGTGCTAATTTAAAGCTTCCACTTGGTGCAATAAATCTAAACATAAATTAGTCTTTCCCCCCCCTGGTTTTTTTTGCAAGTATGTTTGCTTGCTTGCAGGCCAACTTGTTGTTGTTGTTGTCGTGGTTGTTGGATTGGTAGTGTTGTGTTTTGCCTGCTGTTTACGGTTTGCCGTTTGCCATTTGCTGTGCGCTGTTTACTGCTTTGTTGCTTTGCTGCTTGCTGCTTGCTGCATGCTCTCTCCTACGTTGTGTGTTTTTGTTGTTGTTGTATTTGTTGTGTTGTTGATTAAGTAATGTATTTTAATATATATCTCTTACTTATGTATTTCGCGAAATGCGGCTACCACTCGTAAAATTAAATGCCATACTTTATAACTTTTTATTATTGCGAATATATTTCATGCGTTTCGCTCTACCGAGAAGCGTTAGCTTGTTAAGTCCATTTTTATTAATAAATCATAATTTTGTCTGCTGCTTGCTTGTCGTTTAGTTTTGTTGTTTCTTTTTGTGTTTTGTTTAATTTATTAAAAAGGCACGTACAGTAAAAAGTAACACACAACAATAAACAATAAAAAACAAAAAAAAAAAAAATAACTTAATTGTAAGTAGAGGGTTAATACGATTTCGCTGCGCGCGCGACTTTTGAAATTTAAAAAAAAAAAATGCTTGCGCTTTGAACCGTTAGAAGGCAAGATTTACTGCAGCCGTACGGGAGAGAAGTAGGTGAACATGTAAATGCATTAACAAGCATGGATGTGTATGTGAGTGTGTGTACAGTATTGGTAAGTACTGTGCACAAGTGGGTGTTAGGTGGTGCTTAATTGCGGCTGATTTATTATAATAAGAAATAATGCAAAATTATATAAAAATTTTTTATTACCGTAAGGAGTAAAAACAAAAAAAAAATTAAATAACCTAAATTAAATAGCAAGGCATTGCACTGACTGCATTGCACTGCACTGCACTAGTGCAGTCAGTAAAAGACAATATTTATTGCAAAAATTTCAATAGCACACATTTAAGCACTGAAATTGATTGGTTGAGGGTGGCAGGATAGCAAAGGTGGCACGGTTGGCAGGGTTGGCAGTGTTAATAATGAGTTGACTTGTTACGATTTCGCGCTAATTTAATATGTAATTATTTTACTTGTTATTTTACACTTGTGCACAATTTATTTTAATATTTATAATGCCAATTATTTAGTTACAAGGTAAAATTTGATTACTTCCATTAGCGGCTGGCTGTGCATGCACTATGTAAACTCAATAACAATGTATTAATAATTAATATTGTATATAATTTATATTTGTTTTTTCCGCAAAATACTCTTCTCATATTTTTTTTTCTTCCTTTATTTACTTTATTAATACACACTTTCTCTGAGCTCACTTTTTTCTTCTTCCAACCTCATCATATCATGGCACTTTCTGTTAAAATCAAATGTTTTTCTTATTTATGACTAACTATAACTATTTCTAACATGTTAAAATTATTTAAGGTTGTTGCTAGTATTTTTGTTGTTATTATTATTGTTGTTGTTGTTGTTGTTGCTGTTTCTGTTATAGCTGCTATTTCACATCACATAAATCACTTTAACTATCGTGCAATTTAAATTGTAAATTACCATGCAAACGTCTAATTTGTTATATTATCGTACACATTTATTAAAAAATTGTATATTTCATTCTTTATGATTTTACTTTTATTAGGAAGGTTAACTACATATATATATATATATATACATAGATATATATATATAAATATATATATGAAATATAATTTATGCCAACAATGATTTATTATTTGAATAATTATATATATTTACTGATGAATATAACACAATTTATATTTACAACACTTTTATATATCACTTTTCATACATTTACTGCTCAATGTATTATATTCACATTCACATATATTACGTGCTTCTATTATATACATATATATATATATATATATACATATATATAAAGCGTATAAATTACAATAATAAATTAGTAACAAATTTATTACTTAGAATGTCTCTAATAACGAGGCTTCATATACGACGACGCTTTTTATTGGCTTTACTTTAAAATTGCGATGCGCGACGGCCGCACGTACTTTCAGGTTGGAGTAACAAAGTTGAACTAAATATCTATGCACATTGATATTTGTTGGTAGTGGTGGGGCTTTAACGAAAAAATAGTACTAAAGTAGTGTTGCCATTTTTTGGTTTGTTTTGCTACGTTTTCATTTTCAACAAGTGTGCTTTTGTTGTTATATTTCTAATGTTAATGTTGCTCCGTGCTCTGTGCTCAGTGCTCAGTGCTCCAAAAAGCACAAGCTTACACGAGTAAATTTATGCTCTTTTGTTTATAAAGTGAAATTTGTTGCTCTTTGGCTTTTTACGTAGGTAAATGTGTGTTATGTGCTCACCAATACAAACACAACGATGGCATGCATGCAATAGCGTAACGTTGCAAGAATGTACGGTACTGGCACTGGCACTGGCACTGGCAGTGGCACTCATAAAACTTAACAAATTGTGTTGTTGCCAATAAATGTGAGAATATAGTGTGTCTTCCATATGTGTTACACATATAAACAAAATGCTTATTGGGCGTCTTTAGCTCTCTTGGCTGAGAGCACACTTGTTTATGGAGCTAACGAGAGTGAAATTTTGCTTGTAAAGACTTTTTTTCATTTATTTGTCATTAAAAATGTAGTAAATTTTAAAAAGTATTTTTTCCAAGGAATTCTGTTTACAGTTCAAACGTAGAAGCAATAAAATAGCGCTAAATGTTGCAATTTATTTTGATTTTTTTTTGATTTATTATTATTAAATTTATTTCAAATTTTATTGAAAATTGTAAATGATTTATAACAATTTTTATATTTGTAAACAACAATTTAGTTTTGTGTTTTTTGAATAAATAATATATTATGTATTAACATTTTATGATAAATTTTGTAATAGATATCATAAAATATTTGCGATATCATATCTATGTTACAAATTCTTTTTTTTATTATCAAAGAATATCAGTTAAATATTTTAAAATTTGATCAATTAATTAATTAATAGATGAAGAAAAAAAAAATTAAGAATTTGACATCTTTTATAAAATATTTACTAAAATTATTAAAACACACTATTAATAACTAATTAACTTACAAGTAGAAACGAAGAACAATCTTCTTATAACCGTTACTTAATCGTCAGTCGTCCAATACAACGAATACTCAATTTAATGAATGAGGTATTCAACGAATGTCCGACTTAAGGAATGACCAATTCAATGAATATCCTATTTAAGGAATTATCAATTCAACGAATACTCAATTTAACGAATGTCCAATTTAAGGAATGACCAATTCAACGAATGTCCAATTTAAGGCATGACGCATTCAACGAATGTCCAACTTAAGGAATGATCAATTCAACGAACATCTAATTTAAGGAGTGACCAATTCAACAAATGTTCAATTTAAGGAATGAATAATTCAACGAATATTCAATTTAACGAATATCCAATTTGAGGAATGACCAATTCAATGCATGTCCAATTTAAGGAATGACCAATTCAACGAATGTCCAATTTACGGAATGACCAATTCGACGAATGTTAAATTTAAGGAATCTTTAATACAACAGATGGTTAATTTAACGAATTAACGAATCCTCCTGCAGGGTCCAAAAATGAAGTATATATATTTTCATAAGTTAATAATATAGTGATTGCTTTCCGCCGATTCTAATAATGACAATAAAATAACTAATGCTGTATTAACTATTAATCTTACAAATAAAGGAATTCGATCAAAAGTAATCCCAGATTATCGAATATTAATTATAGTACACAGTAATAAAATTTGCAGGGAAAAATACATTAAATAATTTTATTGTGAAAAAAATAATTTAGTTTATTTCAATAAAATTAAGTTATATAATAATAGAAAATTATAAAATAATAGATCTTATAGGTTGGAAATAGTTTGATGAAGATTTAATGTCATTAAATTATTTTTATTATTAATTAATGCAATAAATGTTAATTGATTTACCTCTAGCCTCATTTATTATTTCAATCATTTATGCCTAACCTAATGATTATTATTATTGTTATTATTATTATTATTATTATTATTATTATTATTATTATTATTATTATTATTATTATTATTATTATTATTATTATTATTTTTATTATTATTATTATTATTATTATTATTATTATTATTATTATTATTATTATTATTATTTTTATTAT